AGAAACCATTTTTTGTCATTTGGTGTTTGACTGTCTTGGTGTTTATTTCTATCTTCGCGCCACCAATCAAATTACAGTTATAAATTGGTGACAAAATTAATTCTGCAGATATTACTAAAACCCCTCCTTTCTTCTCATCGATATCTATCCAAGATATAATATTGATATATTAGATTGTTTGTTGTCTACAAAATAAGTAGAAAAGGTAATGTTGTGGTACGATCCACCTAATTTACATAGTGGAGTACCGACCATATAAATATGTTTGGTACCGGGAAGACGAGGGTGAGGAAGAAGAGATCCAATCCAGAGACTCTGCCCGACTGCGACTAAGTCAACCCATTCTACAGGAACGGTCTTCCCAAGAATATACCAAACTATCTGTAAATATGGTTTACACGTTCTTGTGTCAATACATTTTGTTTAAGTACATTTTGTGTTGTATCATTATTATTCCATGCTTTATTCAATTTTCAACAGGTAACTAAACTGAAGCAGTCAAATAAAAATGAAGAGAAACAAAGCGCCATATTCATTTCCCCAAAATATTTTCAGGAACCCACAGACATTGTTTTATATAAAGAAAAATAGCTTAGAATGTCTCCAACATTTAGTGTAGGAACTTAAAACGAAAATATAACAGTTGCCATTGAGACACGGCGTAAACCATGTTACTAATATATGCTAATATGCCAGACTTATCAAACGAGGCCTTAGAATATAATCAAGTACAAACAATATTTCTTTTCAAAATCCTTGACCGTTTGCTACTAGAATATTTTTCAGCAAAAGGGTGTAAAGCTACCTGGGAAAAAAACAGTAGCTAGAGAATTACTATTTAGCAGAGGCATTTCGAAGAGCTTTTAAAGTATATGTTTTCGAAGTGCTTACAATATATATATTTTCCAAGGGCTTTCCAAGTATATAGTAGCCAACTAGAATAAAAATAATTGAAAAAATTAAAAATAGTTTTATTAAGAACAAAAATGAATTTTACGCCTAAAAATAAAACGAGTTTAAAAAAATATTATTTTCAGCAAAAAAAAAATGGTGGCAAGTGTTGATTTTAACATAGCTGATTCATACGACTTTTTGGCAATTTTGGTTGAACATCTCAAATACATAGAACAAGTATGCTAACAATTCTTTACCTTAAAAATTATTAATTTTTTCTTCCACATATATGCATTAATACTTTTAAAACTAAATTAAAATGTTCCCAAGTTTGTAAAATATTTTGCTTTTCCACATAAACGTAAAATTTTGGCATATCAGGGTACTTAGATTTTTTTAACTCCTAGTCTGTGTACTTGTTACAGTGTAGATGATAGTGCCAACAATATTCTGAATCCATTTTACAAATGGATAGATATTCCTCCATGCAGTTTTATAAGACAAATTTAGAAATGTATAGATATTTCTCAAATAACAAGATTTCCTGGTTATGTATTGAATAACTAAGAAAAAATAAGTAAATACAAGACATCTATAAAATAATTGATCATCATGTAAATACATCCATGAGGAAAATTAAATTTGTCCTTCATGAACTGGCAGGACACTCCAGAGAAAACCCTTTGCCATTTTCATTTCTAACCTTTGACAGCCGACATTTAAAAAGAAAACTAAAAACTAAAAGAAAGTTTATCATCACAAGATTGTAGAGAAGAATTTATATTTTCATTTTCATTTTCATTTTTTAAAAAGAAATCATCAAATCTGAGCATACGATTTTATTAATGTTATACTAATACATACCTATTCTATTGTAAATAGACTCTCCCAGATATAATAAGTAGTAGTAGTAGTAGCAATCGCCAGGGCTCAGAGTGAGTTGGTGAGTCAGTTGATGTCGGACATTAACAATTAGATTGCTGCGTCATTAACTATTATTTCAAGTTCCTAACGTTTTGTACGTCGAACCTTTTTTTAGGACCGACTTAGTGAAATACAAGCCTCCACTGTGAAAACTACTCTACAACAATTAATAAGCAAAATTTTTACAATGCTCATCTTTCTTGAGATGAAAAAAAATATACACATGAAAAAGTACCAGCATGCAAAAATTACGCACATATACCTTCTTTTAATAGTTATCCCAAACTATCTTTTTTTATTTTCAATATATTTAAAACTTTTTCATGTGGGTACATAGAACTTTTATGTTGTTTGTTTAAACCTTGTGCTAAAATGTTTTTTTGGAGGTGACAGGATTTTCTATTGCAAGTACAGAAAGAAAAAGTAGGTATATATCACATCATTCACAGAGTAAAATAGAAAAATTCTTTTTTTTTAAATCTGAAAAAAATAAAACTTTATATATAGAGGCACAGGTGGATAGCGGTTCGGATTGATGAATCGGAGAGCCGAGTTCGAATTCCAGTTCAATCCATTATATTTCTAAAAACCTTGGAAAAGGTAGAGATTTACTTGACACTCCACTGAGTTAGGTTGTGACACAAGGTCGGTTTTTATCGTGGAGACCCAAGTGTTTCCACTCGGGCCGCTGGTCTAATCAGGTTATAGCTTGACCAAGCTGGTCAGAGCTCGTCCAAGCTAGTCATAGCCGTGATGCCACTGTTCAAAGTAAGTATCTACACTTGGGAAAGGTATGAATCCATCTCTTTTTTCCCCAGAGATAAATAGCAGAACAGACTGGGTTTTATGTTCTTGTGTCTAGGAGAAGGACAACTCTGAATTCAAAACCTGAAGAGGATCGTTTTGGGAGACCTCTTCCAAAAAGTTGCATAAGCCTTTACCACTCTAATCAAATGATATGCACGGCTAAGAACTGAGCGGCTAGACCCGTATAGATATTTATTTGTACGATGGTACAAAATGTGGCTCAAGGGGATTGGTGAAAAGGAAGGACTTCTGTCTTAATTCCAAACACAAACACTGACCCAAACATACCAACAATAGTCCTAACACCAAAACAACACATTCTCTCCTAACTTTCTTACTACATCCACCATAATACCTCAGTGTCTCTATGAAAGTCCTAAGTAGTCCCCATATGCACATTTCAAAGTCTGTGTGTGGGGTGAATACGGCTAGACCCGTATAAGCCCAAAAAAACAGGAGTGTCCATTATATATACAGGGTGATTGAAAAGTAATCCCCTATTTTATGTATGATGGACTCTCACGAATAATTATCATTTTTATAAAAAACGGGAGAGTTCATCATACATAAAAGAGGAAGTTGATTTTCAATCCCCTTGTATATAAAGTGATTTTTTTCTTTTTTTAATATGTTTCCGCTACGTATTGACATTTATTTATGGTGAATTAATGCTTGTAGCTAATGGCTGAACCACAGAAAAGATAAGGTAGGCTTTAAATGGCAAGGTAGTGGTCAAAAGATAAGGTAGAGGTCAAAAGACAAGGTGGCGTTTAAAAGGTAAGGTAGCGGTTAAAAACAAGGTAGCGGTTAAAAGATAAGTTAGGGGTTAAAAGACAGGGTAGAGGTTAAATGATAAGGTAGCGGTCAAAAGATAAGGTAGCGTTTAAAAGATAAGGTTGCGGTCAAAAGATAAGTTAGCGGTTAAAATATAAGGTAGCGGTCAAAAGACAAGGTAACGGTTAAAAGATAAGGTGGCGTTTAAAAGGTAAGGTAGCGGTTAAAACAAGGTAGCGGTTAAAAGATAAGTTAGCGGTTAAAATATAAGGTAGCGGTCAAAAGACAAGGTAACGGTTAAAAGATAAGGTGGCGTTTAAAAGGTAAGGTAGCGGTTAAAACAAGGTAGCGGTTAAAAGATAAGTTAGCGGTTAAAATATAAGGTAGCGGTCAAAAGACAAGGTAACGGTTAAAAAGATAATGTGGCGTTTAAAAGGTAAGGTAGCGGTTAAAACAAGGTAGCGGTTAAAACAAGCGGTTAAAAGATAAGGTAGAAGTCAAAACATAAGGTAGCGGTTAAAAGATAAGGTAGCGGTTAAAAGATAAGGTAAGGGTCAAAAGATAAGGTAGCGTTTAAAAGATAAGGTATCGGTCAAAAGACAAAGGTAGCGGTTAAAAGATAAGGTGGCGCTTAAAAGATAAGGTAGCGGTTTAAAACAAGGTAGCGGTTAAAAGATAAGTTAGCGGTTAAAAGACAAGGTAGCGGTTAAATGATAAGGTAGCGGTCAAAAGATAAGGTAGCGGTTAAAAGATAAAGGTAGCGGTTAAAAATGTAATTTTAATTCAGATTTTATTATTGGTCATATATTTTTTTTTGCAAGGACGAAAAAATCATTGTGTTGTTCTACGCCACATGTTCAGCAGTCTAAAACTTCCACTCATGCAGTTAGAGAGAAAATATTCATTTTTACTTGTTCCACAATCTTATATTTATTAAATATATCAGCCGTACATTAAATGAAATGTAAGTAAATAAATTCCTCCTCAATAGAAAAATCTTGAGTTCCAAGGTTCACAATTTGTCTTAATCTCTTAATCTGTGAAGATATCAAATAATCGATTTATTTTGTTTCTGTTTCATGGACAGAAATTTGATTGATTTCACTATGACAAGTTTCTCTTTAGGTCGTAAACTTTTTTTTTTTATAATTTATCGAATTTCTACGAAAGTCAAATTCTACATTTATTTTGGGAGCATATCATGACAAAAATCGTGGAAAGAGACCAGATATTTAAATATTCTCCCCCTCTTGCTGTCTTTCAATTTTGTTTACCCCTAGCTTGGGCTGCAAAACACCGGATCCAAGTCTTGACAAATTCTGGTTTATCCAAGTGACTTAAACATCCTATCGGCGACGCCACAAAAAATATTATAAACATTTTGATGCGATTACTCATGTATAACTAATCTACAACGTTTCTTCGGCGTTTAACGAAAAAGAGAATTTTCAGAAGAACGCCTGTATACGTGTGCTTGCACATGCACACACATCAGAGGAGAGGTCAGCCAGTTTCATGTCCATGTAGAGTTTTGGAGGTTTACCCATATTACAATGTATCATCTGCATCCATACCGAGAAAAGGTCGGAGTATATACTTACGCACATTATTAATATAAAAGCAGAGAGAGAGAGAGAGAGAGAGAGAGAGAGAGAGAGAGAGAGAGAGAGAGAGAGTTGGGCAAAGAAGCGAGCCTTGGGAACGCTTACATTGATCTCAGGTGACTCGGAGGATTGGCCGTTAACAACTGCCATCATGGACTTACCAACTGAGAAGAACTTCACAAGACTCTCCAATTGATTCAATAACAGGGGAGCTTGTTCAGCAGTACTCAATGCCACACATTTTTAAAAGCCTTTGGTGTATCTAACGCAGTCGTCTATGAGATGTATTTATTTCCAATTCCTCACTGATTTTATGTGTAAATCAACAAGAAGATTGTTGATCAACAACCTTCTTCATTTTGTCTCAAAGAGTGTGTTGATGGCACAGATGAGTCTGATGGGTCGAATATTACCAGCTATACATTTTTGAGGATAAAAATATTAACAGAAATAGATTTTTGACAATCCAAAGTACTGATTCTGTGATAAGTATCCAGAAACAATTGGAAATCTTGTATCAGGTTGCGCGGTATTGGCATCCAGTGAATATAAAACACGGCACAACAGAGCGGGCACTGGGAAATCTGCAACTTCTACGGGAAGGAAACTGAAAGAATTTGGTATGAACACCACCCAGACCCGGTTACAGAGACAGGACCTGTAACAATTTTATGGGACTTTACAATACACACAGACAGAACATTGAAAGCTAATCGACAAGACATCGTGATTGGAGACCGCAAAGATAAAATGTGTCTCCTTACGGACATAGCAGACTGCAATGTATCGTTGATTATTTTCAAAATACTATCAAAATACAAGGACCTTGAAATCGAAGTATTAAAAAAGTGGCGCCTGAGGACAATACCAATTCCATTTTTTGTTTGAACCCTCGAATTGATTGGAAAAGATTCCAATGGACTCAGTGAAGCAATACCTGGCAGACTATGCCTTAAATTAAATACAAGAAATTGTTCTGGAAAGTACAACCCATACTTTACGAAAGGCTTTATCTATGTAAAATATGTGCAATTTTTTCTTTCAAAACTGTTCCGCGAGAAGAAAAATGAGTATAGACCGGAAACCAAAGTAAAGAATATTGTGATAGAATATATTTTCAAATTTAAAATACATACATCTTACTTATTATAAAACACAGATAGTGTGTGTGTGTCTGTACGTTTATATATTGGATCAGATTTCTTACATTTTTCAACCGATTTCATAAAAACTTCACAGGACTACGTAAAATTACCTTGCGGTGGTTCTGACGGCGCCAAAAATTGGAAAAACACAATTGTTTTTGCACGTAATCAATTTGAAAACACGATAAAACACGATTCTGTCACCAGAATGAAAGGGGGACAACTCATATGGAGTTATACTTATTATAAAACCCAGGTTGTGTGTGTGTGTTCGTTTATATATGGGATCGGATTTCCTACATTTTTCAACCGATTTCAACAAAACTTCACTTTTTTTTGGCAGGTAGTGTTTCAGCTTGCTGTTTGGATGACATTTGAGACATATTTACTAAGTATTCGTTGCCACAACACACTATTGCGTCACTTTCTCTGTCACACACACACACACACATATATAAAAATATTTTAAAATAGAATTTTATTATAAAATAGAATTTTATTATAAACAATTGTCTTGTAAATGGAATTTTTAAAGCATTCTGAATGTAAAAACAAAGAAAAAAGTGTGCAAGACAGTAGTCTTGCACACTTTTTTCTTTGTTTTTACATTCAGAATGCTTTAGAAATTTCATTTACAAGACAATTGTTTATAATAAAATTCTATTCAATCGATAGACTCTTAACGATTGAAAACAATGTTTTTGTTTGAGTTTGGGTTTGACCAAATTCGTAAAAAAAAAAGAAAAACTAATTAAGACATGCGTGTCCGTCAACCTTAAACAATAATCTTTGTCAATTTTATTTTTCAGTCTTTATGATTGTCGATACTTGATCTATCTCTTACTGTTACTGTCACCGGGCAACGCCGGGCTCTACTGCTAGTCTTTTATAAGTCTTTGTCCAAGCGTTGCTTGAGATCACCAACGGAACTTTTTGTTCTTTTTACAAATGACTGTAATTTCGACAAACATCTTAAGGTGAACATTCTGAAATTTTTTTTCAGAATCTACCGGCCTTTGGACCCTTAAAATACATGAGGATCGTTACGTAAGCAAATTATTAACTTCCCGGCCCGGGGGAATGAAAAGAATGACAGGAGAGTTCCATAATATTTATCCTAAGTTGTTTGATTAATTCCTCTTATTAATTAATCAACTAACGGAAAATTACAAGATGAACAAGATCGCCATCATATTAAGCACTTTTCAGTTTCATGCATTCACGTTGGCGGCATTTCTTTCATTGTAACACGTTCGTTACCAGAACAGCCGCCTTTTCATTACAAGATATTTTGTTTTCGGGGTCATCACCCCTGTATCATTTCATAACATAGAATTTTATACAATTGTATATATTGAAATTTTAAGTCATGGGGTGTTTTTTCAGTAGGGGCCCTGTGTGTGAGGTACTTTGGTGTATATAGGAGGGAATGGTGACGGATAGATTATTATGGTGATTGAGTAAATTGTAACGAATAGTTGTGTCGTGAATCTGATTAGCTTGCTATAAGATAGCGTCTACCAACCTTAACCAATCTTTCCTAACACTTTTTCGGCCTTGTATCGCAATTTCTGTATTCAGCCAGTAATAAATCGTAGACAATAATGAATAATAAATCATAGACAAGCAACGTTGGACTTATAATTTTTATAGTTTTACATATTTTTATAGTTGAAAAAACTTTTAAAAATATAACTTGAAGACAGACATACTGTCGAAATATTGTTTAACATTGTCAGCGACTGTGTTTTTTATTTTCTTTATCTTTTCTTAATTCGTGTTCTTTTCTTAACTGTTGAAAATATTGGAAGAGTTACGTCAGTCATTTTGCTTAATAATAATAATAATAACAATAATAATAATAATGTTCTGAGAAATAAAAAAGAGCACTGAATAGTTGCGTAATATCTAATCTCTTAAAATCGCAACCCTCTATCTTAAGTGACTCTTGGGCCTTGTATTGGGTGAAAATTAGTATAACACATGCGGTGGTTGTTGGCCAATTTCACGCAAGAGACATTAAATGAAAACGCAATCGCCTGATCGACAAAGACTACCATAGAACGAATATGTGACCAATGAGGAAGTCGCTAGAAAGCACATAGACTCTTGTACTTACAATAAGAACCAGTTTAAATTTCTTCGAAAAGGAGGCTTAGTGAATTTAATAGTCACAGGAGATATCGAAGTAAATAATATCTGGGAGATATAGTTAATTAGGTTTCTGTGAATACATGGCAGTACCGAGAAAAGGGAGTCGTTTAAAGAATCAGTGCTTGCTTAGAAGAATAAATGTGAAGGGAGATGATCGCACACTCTGTGAAATGACGTGTCTTATAAAAGAAGAATTCAAAAGAATTCATTCTTTGAATGTAACTCGGGCACAAATCAGCTGTTATACCTGCAGCCTTAACTAGTGAAATTATTTAAATTTTGTTGCGAAATACTTTAGTTCATTTTTCGCATTTTGCTTTATTCGCTGTTGCGATCACGTGTTTACTAACATCGCGCGCATCTCAATGAATGACAAAGTAGGCCAGACGGTGACCAATATGGCCAGAGGTTTCCGTCCGCAAAGACGAACACTCTTGGAGTAGGAAAAGGTCAAGCAAGAGAAAGCAGGAAACTTTTGGCCTGAGTACATGGCTGAAAGCAAACCTTTTATCGATTAGAGATTATCGATTGAGGTACTTACCAAGAGAAGACTCGTGTGTTCCTGTTTACAACAGAAACTAACACACCCACATAGATGTAGACACACAATAGTTTTGGCTTAGACTTGTACAAGGTGATAGTAATATGGCACTTAGTGGAGATAATAATGATTGGATGACATTTGAGACATATTTACTAAGTATTCGTTGCCACAACACGCTATTGCGTCACTTTCTCTGTCACACACACACACACACACACACATATATATATATATATATATAATTTAATGAAAACATAGAACTTTAAGGGTCCATGGTTATAATTTATTTCACTGGGGAGTTTCATTTTTCTCTGGATCATCGGAACTTATTTCCAAGAATGAAAAAATGAATTTAAATTTACATATAATTTATTCACTTTTGAGGGTTAGTATTAAGTTGATGTAAGGTGATCAAATTTATGCATTTTATTTTTAATCATTTCACCCCAAGCAAGGCGATAATGCTACTAAAACGCAAATGGTTACTGGGAGTGAAAGAGAATTAAAAGATTTTAGTGAGGAGAAAGGACAATAAAAGAACAGGTTTCAGGAAGACAGAAGATGGTGATAATTCCACTAAGACGCAAGGAGTTACTGGGTGTGAAAGAGAATGAGAAGTCTTAAGTTAGGAGAAAGTGATTGAACACGATCTTTGCTAGAATGACACAATACACCGAAAATAACTGATCTTGCTGTCCATAATACGCAAGTGTTTCTCGTTGTATCAATAGTTGAATTATAATCCAACACACATAGCCTTAAAATTACTTTCAAGTATAAACAGACTGTCGCCCCTCAATGTTGACTTCACTGCCCATATATATATATATATATATATATATATATATATATATATATATATATATATATATATATATATATTGATTTAAAAGTATGTTTTTTCGTTACACAGTTCTAACCATGTTTCAAAAATGGAAGCTAAAAGCCCCGAATATATATATATATATATATATATATATATATGTGTGTGTGTGTGTGTGTGTGTGTGTGTGCGTGTGTGTGCGTGTGGTGGACTCTCCCGTCGTATTCAATGTATGAGGGCTCAAGCAGCTCAATTCCTAGGAACCGACAGCCAGTCACCAGCACATGTGATTTGATTATAGTGGCGAAGGGCCATCCACATTTTTTGAAGGGCCGAAAGATGAGACCTGGTGCACTACGTGCCACAAGGTGCCTAAATAAGCCTCAGCAGGTTTTGAATTCAGAGTTGTCCTTCTCCTCGACCAATTGCCATCCAAGGTTATAGAATCCAGTTTGACCTGCTATTTACCCTTGGCTGGAGGGAGAAGAAGAGGATTAATACCTTTCCTAAGGGTATTTACATGTAACGGAATGTAATGGATTATATATATATATATATATATATATATATATATATATATATATATAATAAATTAATTTATTTAAAATATTTTCGCTACACAGTTCTAACCATGTTTCCAAAAAAATTTTCATTTTTGAAACATGGTTAGAACTGTAAAAAAAACATATTTTAAATCATTTAATTTATAATATTAATGCTCTGTAAATTTACATTGAGCACTATTTTGTAAAAACAAAAATATCTATAAGAACACCGGATTACTTACTGTTCTTTCTTTATATATATAGGCACGAGGAGGCACGGTGGAGCAGTGGTTAGCGGCTTGGATTGAGGAATCGTAGAGCCGAGTTCGAATTCCAATCTACTGCATTCACTTACGTGCTAATACCCTTAGGAAAGGTGTGTATCCTCTTCATCTCCCTCCAGCTATGGGTAAAATAGCAGGACAGACTGGGTTCTATAGCCTTGGATGGCAACTGGTCTAGGAGAAGGACAACTCTGAATTCAAAACCTGCGGAGGGTCGTTTGGGAACCTTGTGGCACGCATTCGGTGCACCAGGTTTCTGTATTCGTCCCTCCAAAAAGTGTGGTTGGTCCTGCACAAGGCCTTCACCACTATAAACAAATCTCATGTGCTGGTGTCGGGATGTCGGTTTCCTGGGGACTTATCGGCCTGACCCTCATACGTCGAACGCGACGGGAGAGGAGAGTCGATTATATATATATATATATGGATTAGATTCGTATCCCTCTATACGTTATTATTAGTGGATCTGAGTAGACGATCCATTTATATATTAGATTATATTTATTTTTATATTTACCTACCGGCCTAAACTTTCCCGAAAGATTATTAAAGAGAAATTTGAAAATTTGCGCTCTTTGATGAGAATCAAACCTGCGTCTTTAGAGAAAGCCACCGGAATTTCTCTTGTTAATGATTTCTCGAAGTTCTTCATGTCTGCACGCTCTTGAACAGCGCATTACCTTTACAGAAATAACGGACATAAAATTTCAAAGTCAAAAGTGAAGATCAAGACAGTCGGGGTGAAGAAACTTGATATATAATCTTCTAATTGGGTGGGAGTCATTTATAATAACTAAAGCACCTGAGGTCTAAACACACATACACGGGCTCTGGAGGAAGTTGGTTCAGAGTCAACGTACGTAAAACAGCCGTCGCTTAAAGGCATACCGGCAATTCCTGTGGCTGGAGCGAAAATACAGAATAATTGTGTGAGACTCGATTGGCTGGTTATTACTTTAGCGTCTGCTACTAGATTTCTCAAATCACCATCCGATAGAATTTGTTTTTGTGGTAAATAACAAAGGCAGTTTATTCACCAGTTTTCTTCATATAAAATAAACCTGTTGTTACTGTTATTAACAGCATTGTGCACTTTAATAAATGAGTTATTATTCTCGTCCTGATTTTCACAGTTGTTCTTAGCCACAAATGAACAGATGTAGCCACGGCCAAAGGCAGAAATTACATAAACTTGTCTGTGGTACACAACTACAAAGATAGGTTCACACTATGTTAATACCAAATATAATAAAATTTTGGGAATTCTGAATCAACCATATCGAGACGACACACCGGCTCTACCCGGAGAGGGAAAATAAAGCCAGATGTCCAGTAAGATTAACCAAAGCTAGCGACTGAGGAAGAAGGGGCAATAGACGCGAGAGAAGGGTGTAAGTAGAGGGTGTGGGTTACAGTATGAGTATCTGACTTCTCCTCCTATCCTCTATATTTGTGTGAGCCAGATCAGAGCAAAAATGGAATACTGCTGTCATATATCGGTAGGAGCTGTCCAGTCTCAACTCTCCAGGTTTTATAGCGTCTAAAATCATCTACGCGTCCTTGTGGGTAATTAACTGTTTTCCGTCTTACAACGCCTTTTACAGAGAAGAAACTTTGCACGCCTCTTTCTACCTTATTATTGTTTCAATGGAAAGTGCTCAGACGAACTACACTCCTTAGTTCCACCGATTCTAACCCTCATAGCCAAGGTTGACTATACCAGGCACATCGTAGCAAACCACCTCCAACCTCTTCGTATTCCATTGATGAGATGTAAAGTCCATTCTAACACGTCCTTCCACTTGAACCGGTTCATTGTAGACACGACTCCTAAGCGGATGCTTCATCGATCACTATACTCTTAATCTGTTCCAATCTCGGTTAATCATTATCTTCCTCGCAGAACCTAATATAAAATGTCTCTTACCTCTTAATCTGGAACCATTTCCATTGAGTATTTCCTGCGCGTTGTACAGGGTGAATATTTTACTAAAAATATTTATTCGTTACTTGTTTTTTTATTTATCATGTTTTATTTTACTTTTCTTGCGCTTACATCTGTTATAAAATTTAGTATTTCAATTATCGATTATTAAATTTAGTTTATTAAGTGTTTAGTGTGTGTTGGCGTGTGGCCGAGTGGTTAAAATGTTCACTTTCTGACTATGAGAGCAGGGTTCGAATCTCACCCTGGTCGATTTGTCAGGAAGGAGACTTCCTGATGTTACCGTACTGGAGAAGTCGAGCCCAGCTTGCCTGAAAACTTGACACACTCCTTGTGAGTAAGTGTGCTGGCACGAAATCACAAGTCATCGTGACCGAGGGATTGAGAGTGCTGGTTTTGTTCAAATTCTTGATCACGTTAGATACTGTAACTAAGGTCTGCTCAGCATAGTTGCAGTATAAATCACATGTGGCCTCTGAACAAACGTCTGCCATAAGGATTGGTTAGCCGCCCTAGTAGACAGGTACCCTCGAATACGTGTGGCCAGGTATATATGCAAACATACATGTTTTGGCGTGATGTATTTGTCGGTAGCGTAGTAGGAATTTTGTTTATTAAGAATTCATTTTAGTGTTGCTTTATAACAGTCTACGAACACTGAGACGAATATTCCATACATAAAAAAAGTACTTATTTTCGGCAAATAAACATAGACGCGTGGTTATTTACACGCTAATTATTCAACTGAGCATTATCTAATCAAGTTATATTTCATTAGCCAATCATGAAAGATAAATCGATCAGCTTATTAACACCCAACAAAACGAAATATTCAAAAATCAGTTGCTATATATATTTGTATTGTTCTCTTATCATTATATATACTGTGTTTTTCTTTTAACACGTATGCTTACGTTAAAGTGAAATTTATAAACCAGAAGCAGTAAAAGATGAACAGTTATAAGTACTATTAAAATAGTGCCGAACAATATTCTGTGATAAAAGTTATATGACAGAATTTCGTTCTTACCATCGCTTTTAGCGACCGCAGTGAACGATTGCTTCTGTCCTTGCAGAGAGACGAAAACTTTGATCTTTTACTTAAAAGACTTTTCACTTGAATCCCTTTACGGCTTCTCTTTGACAGATGCGATTTGCCAAAATTATGACTTTTGCGTTTTCGGACGATTATTCTGTAAATCTAGTAACGTCTTTTCTGATGGGTTTGACCACAGGTCAGTGAGGACGTCGATAACAGAGGAAACATTTTATATTGGAGAGAACCTCCAAAAGCAACGCTTTTTTATTTATTTAGACAGAAAATTCAACAGAAATACACTGGTGTACCATTTAGCATATATGTATTAATATGAAAGATAGAACAGGCGAGAATGCACAGGAACGCTTACGAACATATCACGTTGAAATTACTGGTTGCCATACAATTACCGAAGTTAAGCAACATCGAACCTGGTCAGTACTTAGATAGACGACCGCTTGGGAATACCTGGTACTGTAAACTTGAATTTGCAGTTAGTATAATCGATAATGGCTTGGAATTTTTAATCGGGGAGCCGAGTTTCGATTCCAGTTAGGTTCCTTATATTCACTTACAATCAAATACCCTTTTTAGGAAAGATATGAATCCACTTCTTCTCCTCCAGCTATAGGTTAATTAGTAAGACTTTTATCACTAAATCATTATCTAAAAAATTTCTTACAATCTAAAATTATTTTATGCCTTTAAAAAACCTGAAAAAGAGATGATAAGCCAGAGTAAACGATTCAATCAATCAATGAAATATTGATTAACTACAAAGGCATGATTTATTAGATGTATTTACATTCTCTGGATTGGTTTTGATTTGGTTTTTGTTTTACGGCATATCAACTTCAATGTGTTATTTAATGCCGACAAGATTTTAATTGATGGTAATCTATCTATCTATCTATCTATCTATCTATCTATCTATCTATCTATCTATCTATCTATCTCAGTATATATTGGTTTAGTTTGCTTTTTTTTACGGCATATCAACTTCAATGTGTGATTTAATGCCGACAAAATTTTTATTGCTGGTAATTTTTTTATCTATCTATCTATCTATCTATCTATCTATCTATCTATCTATCTATCTATCTATCTATCTATCTTTCTCAGTATATATTGGTTTAGTTTTGTTTGTTTTACGGCATATCAATCTCAATGGTTTTTTTTAATGCCGACAAGATTTTCATTGATGGTATTTTTTTTATCTATCTATCTATCTATCTATCTATCTATCTATCTATCTCAGTATATATTGGTTTAGTTTGCTTTTTTTTACGGCATATCAACTTCAATGTGTTATTTAATGCCGACAAAATTTTTATTGCTGGTAATTTTTTTATCTATCTATCTATCTATCTATCTATCTATCTATCTATCTATCTATCTATCTCAGTATATATTGGTTTAGTTTTGTTTGTTTTACGGCATATCAATCTCAATGGGTTTTTTTAATGCCGACAAGATTTTCATTGATGGTAATTTTTTTATCTATCTATCTATCTATCTATCTATCTATCTATCTATCTATCTATCTATCTATCTATCTATCTATATCTCAGTATATATTGGTTTAGTTTTTTTTTTTACGGCATATCAACTTCAATGTGTTATTTAATGCCGACAAAAAATTTTATTGCTGGTAATTTTTTTTTTTCTATCTATCTATCTATCTATCTATCTATCTATCTATCTATCTATCTATCTATCTATCTATCTATATTCAGTTTATTGGTTTTTTTTTTTTTTTTACGGCATATCAACTTCAATGTGTGATTTAATGCGGACAAAATTTTTATTGCTGGTAATTTTTTTTATCTATCTATCTATCTATCTATCTATCTATCTATCTCAGTATATATTGGTTTGATTTGGTTTGTTTTACGGCATATCAACCTCAAAGGGTTATTTAATGCCGACAAATTTTCATTGATGGTATTTTTTTTATCTATCTATCTATCTATCTATCTATCTATCTATCTATCTATCTATCTATCTCAGTATATATTGGTTTGGTTTGGTTTGTTTTACGGCATATCAATCTTAAGGGGTTATTTAATGCCGACAAAATTTTTCTTGTTGGTAATATTTTTTTTCAAAAATCTATTTCTGGTAATATTTTTTTTTCAAATAATTATATCTGGTAATATTTTTTTCACAAAATGTATAAGTGCTAATTTTTTTTTCTTTTCAAAAATCTACTTCTGGTAAGAATTTTTTGCAAAAATGTTTTGCTGGCATTAAAACCTATTTTTCTTCGTTTTGACACCGGTTTCAGCGGGTAACTATTTGCCCATAGCTGGGACCCTAACAGGTGCTACCACCCCCGGTCAGGGTGCACCTGGATACACCAGCAATAAAGAGGTGGTTCCACGCTCCTTAAAACCTGATCAGAGAACTTGCTGTCAGATGTAGTTTATCGTTTGACCCAGAACTGCATTCTCTGGAATATTTGATGGAAGTCACAGGCGATAAGTATCTCTAAATAAAGTGAAAGATCAGTTTATATATTGTTTTTAATATATAATTGATACCCCACTTTCTTTATTAAATTCTGATTAAAACATGAATCAATGACATCAAAGAAACACACACGTGCATGTGGGAACGTTTCGAAATTAATGTCTTTTATTTGTTCATTGTGATCGGTTGAGATTAGAGAACTGTTTCGCTTGCTATTAGTCCGAACAATGTAAATAGTTTACATAATACCTCATCTCAGAAATATAGACAGATATTAAAATGTTTCCTTAGTAATAGTGAACAAAATGGGTTGAAACAATTAGTACTCAATCGCTAAAGAAAACAAACCATTTACTGCGTTTTGATGCCACTTGCTCAAATCTTAATGCCCACAAAACTGTTCGACCCAAAGCAGTTTGCACAGAAATTTGTTGCCGAAGCATTTTTTTCACAGTCCCAAAAAGTCCACCAGAAGAGCCTCAGCCGAACCAGGCATTTCACAAACCTCTGTTATATGAATTCTGAAATCTATTGGGTTGAAAGCTTATCGTACACGGCTAATTCAGAGCTTACTGGAGAATAACGCGGACAGGCGGATACAATTTAACGAGATCATCCTGAAGAAAATCTAATAATTCTGAATAACATTACGTGGACGTATGAGGCTTCTTTCAAATTATCATGTCATATTAAACGACATAATTGTGTTTACAGCTATACTGAGAATATGCATTCAACATCAGAGTAAAAATTAAATAAACCTTGTGTCAGTGTTTGGGGCAGAATTTCAATTTTTGCTGTTTTAGAACAAATTTCTTTTGATTGAAGTCACAGGCCATAAGTATCTCTAAATTAAAATGAATCAAATTGTTTCATAGTTTCAATAACAGCATACTTCATTTGACTTTTATTTCCAATAAGATGGGTCATTCCATATTATTTAAGAGCAACCCGTGAGTATCATTATGAAACATTTCCCGAGAAATGGATTGGCCCACACAATCACCTGACTTTACTTCAATGGATTTTTTTGTTTTGGGACGTAGCTGAGGACAAAGTTTATAGTAAAAAAACACAAAGTGTTGATGACTGGAGCAACAACTAAACCAGACTGGTGTCAGTGTTTGGGGCGGTATTTCATGTTCTGGTGTTTCAGAACCAATTTCCTTTGATGGAACAGTCACGGTCGATAAGTATCTTAAAATTCTAGTGAAACAAGTTCCACAGTTAAAACAGCATAATTCACAAGACTTATTTCCAACATGATGGACTAGTGCACATTATTCAAGAGCAGTCAGTGAGTATCATGATGAAATATTTCCTGAGAAATGGATTGGCCGAAGTGGTCGCAATGATTGGTCCACACGTTCACCTGACTTTACTCCAATGGATTCTTCTTTTGGGGAGTACTCAAGTACATTTGACGAAGCGTAGAAGGCTGACTTCAAGTCTGTGTAAATTGTGATAGACACTAGTTTGAGCGCATACGTTTATAACATTTTCAATGCTTTTGCATTGTATTATTGCAGAAAATAAAATTTATTTCTATATGTAATAAATGTTTATCAAACTTTCACTGTATTAGTATGCAAGCTCAAAAGAAATGTTAACATTTTCTCCCCACTTACTTTTGGTTCACCCTGTATAATGAGATATATTACTGATATATACGATGGGAATATATATATATATATATATATATATATATATATATATATATATATATATATATATATAATGGGAAATTATATACTTTTTTAAGCATATCACCCCAAATTATATACTTTTTAAGCATATGACCCCAAATTTTATACTTTTTTAATCTTATCACCCCAGCAAGGCCGGTGTGCCACTAGCACGCAAGGGGTTACAGAGACTGAAAGCATGAGTATAGAGCGATGTTTGAGGAAAGGATAAAGAGAAGGACTGGGACAAACCCTTAAAAATGCTCGCTACTTTCACTTATAAACATTGAACAGTCAGTGCCTTGTAGTCACTAACTGCTTTCAGAAAAACACGGACACCTGTTTTCATAAGAAATGTTTTACCTGCGCTACTAAATATTGATTTATAATATATAGGACAATATATATATATATATATATATATATATATATATATATTATAATATATAATATATATAGCTTGGGGACAAAATCTTGGGGATAAATAAAAAAGAGACATTTTTAACCTTTTGAAATAAATATTTTTTTTGCATTGTCAAAGTGTCCAATTCGCCTGCAGTGAATTAAAAAGAGTACACACACCGTTTACGATGAGAAGACGACAACATTCACATAAAAGGTTTCTTTGGGAAGGACACCACGACAGTTCTTGGCGCAGCCTAATTGCTTTGCTTAGTTATTCAGCTTTTGCCATGACTACTAGGTTCGATCCTTACCGGAAGCTTCAAAGCTTAACCATAAAAACCGTTGATATAACGTAAAATCAATCAGCCTATCATTGTCTATTTCGTTCCCATTTCCATGAAAATAATATTTATCATCGCTCACATGATTTTTTTGTTCTTTTTTCGTTTGTTTGTTTTTTTAAGCATTTCAATCCAAGCAAAGCGGGAGTGCCACTACGACGCAAGGGGTTACAGAGAGTGAGAGCAAGAGTAAAGAAGAGGTGTTTGAGAAAAGGCTATAGAGAAGGACGGGGATCAAGATCAAGGCATCAGAAGATGTCGATTGACATTAGATTTGAATATTTGAAGATTATAGCTATCAGGGAATAAAGTAAGAGGAAGAGAGTTCCTCTGTCTGGAAGTGCACGAGAAGAAGCTATTGGAGTAGAAGAGGCGGTTGCATTTAACTGTTTCGACAGTGAAAGGGTGGGACAATATGCCAACCTAGTAGCACGCTTAAATTCATGCAGTTGGGGTACCGGGGAAAGTAGTTCGTCAGAGCTGTGGTCATAAAAATATTTGTAGAAAAAAAAGAGAGAAGTCATATCACGTCCGTGAGAAAGTGACGGGAGACGAGATGCCGGATCAGGACCTATCACATTGCATATCCGTTTTAGGATTTTGTCGAGAACCTCATGATGAACAGTTGGGGCACCAGATTATGTACGGCAACAGTATTCAATGCAAGACGAACGGTGGAATTTTGGATTGGAACGATGGACCCAGACGAGAAAAAGCTGGCGTGACACAGAGTACTAACTTGCGGTAGATGAAGCTATTGATTCAATGCCACCTCAGGCCAATGGAAAACGTGAGACCAAGAAGAGGCAGGGAGACGAACTCGTGGAGTTGGGCATCATCCATTCTGATAAGAGACAGGGGCGGGAGGGGGAGTTCTTTATGGGAAAATCTGAAAATAAGGAATACCATTTATTCATTCGGGAAGTAAATCAGATACAAGCTTTCAGTTACAAAACAGTAATTTTCTGCATAGACACCATCATTTCTAATTTATTTTCACCTGTCAAGATCAGGGCCTGCGTACCAGAGATAACGGCCTTATATTGTATATAGTAACATATTTTATTGATATATAATAATACGAATAAACGCCCCGGTAGTAAATGGTCAAGTATATTTCCCTGGACTAAGCTAGATGTTTTTCACATAATAATTGCTTTCCTGTTTTGGTTGGTGGACAGAGATGTTATAACAATGTCACCATTACAGTAACGCATTAACAACAAAAGAATTGTGCATATATCCAGTGTCTGGTCGGGTACCCTGAGGCGGTGTAATGGTTAATACGTTTATAATGGTGTAATGGTTAATTACGACTGAGTAGTGAGTTCGATCCTCACTGGGTGCTACATGTTTTCGGTTTTGAGCCACATCTAAGCTACGCTTGGAAAATCACTATATCCAGTGTCTGGTCTGTGTAAGCGTTCAACAAGTGTCGCTGAGTGTCAATACATGCAGTTTTTTTCGAATGGAGGAATTAAGTGACAGATGTTTGTTTGGTACAGATTTTCATGTGAGAAGACATTTTACCAGATATCTATTTGTAACAAGACAAAGGATTATTAATGAGAAGGTGAAATTTCAGAAGCAAATCAAGATTTACGCTTAGAATATATATATATATATATATATATATATATATATATATATATATATATATAAGAACATGTAATTGAGACAAAAACAATCGTCCAGAATGCAAACTCAGAGTCCAAAGAAAAAAAACCTCCAACACGAGCAAAGCAAAAATAACTAAGTTCAATGCTCAATACACTAAGTAGAGAAAACCTAACCATGAACCTAAAGAGCCAGGCAAACCTACGATATATATATATATATATATATATATATATATATATATATATATATATATATATATATATATATATATATATATATATAGCATAATGAGAAGCCACGTATACTTTCTTAATATGTATATATAGAAAAAGTTTCAAATTAAAAAATAATAATGTTTTATTTTATGAAAGTATTGATTTATTTATATATATATTTGATATTTCAAATTGTCCTCAATTTTTCATCAGAAATAACTATTTGTTATAAATAAATTAAAATTACTGTTTGTTAGCAAGTAGCGTTTTTCGCGAGACGCGGACGTCACGAGATATGGAACGTCACTGTTCGGATATTTCTAACTTAAATCTAACTGTCATAAATATTTTAAATGTTGTTTAAAAAAATTTTTTTACTATATCTAAAAAAAAAAAAAAATTGCTTAACTATTGAAATATTTATAAAGATTTAAAACACCTAAGTCCCTATTCAACCCTAGTTTATGTGTATTTAATTTTAAAATCCAATATGTTTCTTTTTTTCTGCGTGTGAATGTGGAAGTAAAATCGGAATCTATCAATAAACATTTGCAGTTTTCTAATGTGTGTCCTGATTGATTGTAGTGTTTAGCTATGGGGGAATAAGGGTTGTTTTGACGTATTGTTTGTCTATGGTTATTTCAATAATATATATATATATGTGTGTATGTGTGTGTGTATGCGTGTAATACACGCAACCTATAAAATCAAAAAATTTTAAAAATTAATCACTTTGTCTGACGATCGCAAAAGCATGAAACCCAGGGTCACAAACTCACATCAAACCAACTAAATATATATAAATATATATATATAAATATATATATATATATATATATATATATATATATATATATATATATATATATATATATATATTTATTTAATTTCGATAAACGTGCAATCAATTTACAAATTCATGAATTATTCATACAAAAACAAATGCAAAGGTTAATGATTTAATTGGCGAGAAATCCATCGTCGTAAACAATTCAAATAATATACAAAACCCCCCGAACCTGTTATGAATGAAAAGATCCTTCTTTCTATAAATTTCTACTGCATTAGTTCTTATTTTTACTACAAGCTTTCGTCTGTTCCTACAGACATCTTCAGGTATGGAATAGATGTTGTTCTTGTTTTTTCTCTTAGTAATAAGAGGACAACGAAAATATATGTATTGTTGTATCCGAAAAATGCTATTGGAAATGAGTTATTGTTTTTGGAGCAACGCTGAGTTTGATTTTAAATTTTACAGTTGTGCGTTCTTGTACAAATATGGTGATAAGCGAATTTTTTTTTATCCGAACAACATCTATTCCATACCTGAAGATGTCTGTAGGAACAGACGAAAGCTTGTAGTAAAAATAAGAACTAATACAGCAGAAATTTATAGAAACAAGGATCTTTTCATTCATAACAGGTTCGGGGGTTTTTGTATATTATTTGAATTGTTTGCGACGATGGATTTCTCGCCAATTAAATCATTAACATTTGCATTTGTTTTTGTATGAATAATTCATGAATATATATATATATGTGTGTGTGTGTGTGCGTGCGTGCGCACGTGTCTTGGGGATAGATGTGACTCATGAGGGCACAGTCCGTTGGTATAAGGAGACTTCGATGAGTCACACGACGGAATTCGTGAAGAGATGGCGCTATATCGAGTTTGATTTGTCATTATAGTTATGTTGGCGGATTCAACCATTTATTTATTTATTTTTTTTTTATATTACCATATTGTTGTGTACGTTTGTTTGGGAGAGCAGTAATACACCGTTATAATGGCAATATTCTCCACACGTGACAATAACTGATGTTATTTTCAGTTAACAATATGAAAATAGTGTTCTCTACATTCCTCCAGTTGCTAAGCACATTCTGTTTTGTTATTATTAGTTACTTTCTTTAATTAAATTCATTTCGTTTTTTTTTTTTTTTTTTTTTTGCTTTAAAATATCCACATTGGACGAAACGCGTCAGCAATAACTACAGTTTTCCTATCGTCATTTTATATATATATATATATATATATATATATATATATATATATATATATATATATATATATATATATATATGATATCCGACAGAGATAGAAATTTTAAAGGTTTCGGGCCTGAGTTGAGTCAGACCAGGAAACAGTGGTATTAAAAAGTGTGAAAAAAATAAAATAAAAGTAAAAATAAAACGTGTTAAAAATATGGAGCGCAGTTTTATTTTTTAAATAAAGCATTAAGAAGAGGTCATATTTTTTAAATAAAGCGTTAAGAGGTCATATGAGCTTGAAAGCAAGGTAGCAAATTCAACTGATTTCCTAATTTTTTTTAAAGTACATATATATATATATATATATATATATAAAATTAATTTATTAATCCGATATTTTTATTACTTGAAAATTTATTCGAGTGTATACTCCGTATTTTCCTAGTTTCCTCTTTCCTGACTTAAAATGTCTCCGCGTACATGTGGGTGATTAATTATTTTCTATTTTGAAATAAACGCCCCCATTTTTATGTATTAAACAGACTGTATAATGACTATCGATTTGCACATTTAAAAACCTGTTAAAATTTTCTCCCTGCTTTGTTTTGAATGCTGAGGGCTACATGCACAATTGAAAAACATTTTTTTTTCTTTTGCTAAAAACATTTTGCACACTTTTATAACTGTTGCCTGCGAGTTCTTTAGAAACACAGTAATCTTCAGAATTAAACAGAAAATTGTCAAGAATAGAAGTGATATTCGAAAAATACACCTGCCCTGAGCAAGTTATGCATCGAGGTTTCGTCGTTTTATGAAATGGCCAGAAGATAAACGAATGTTTGGACACGAGTATTTTTTTTTACTGACTAACACCACCAGACAATATCAGTGTTTATTTGTTTTTATTTTATACTAATCTTCAACTTATACAAGGCCTAAGAAGCACTGAATGTAGAACGTTACAGAGTAAGAGGCACAGTTTATAATGATATTAGGGGAAGATAACTGTGAACCATATATTTGAACAGGTTAAGAGCATACTGTTATGAGTCGTGTCCACAAAGCAGCGGTTCGGTGGAAGACGTTATTCGAGTGGATCTTACATCACGCCATTGGAAGACGAAGGGAATGACGGTAGTTTGGACATGGCGGATTTTAGCTGTGAAGGTTAGAACTGGTGGATCTAAGTAGTTCTTTTAAACACTTTCCATAGAAATAATGATAGAACATAGAATCTCGTGACGTTTTCGTCTATGGGGAAAGAGGTTGTAGGGTGGGAAATAATTAATCCCCCACAAGGACACCGAGGCGCTTTTAGACAGGAAAGTGGAAATTCGGCAGCTATTGTCCATATATCACAACAGTAATTCATATTTGGTTTAATATTATCCTTGTAAATCAAGAGAAAAGTAGGAGGAGTCGGGTACTTACAGAGAACAGACTATTATGAAATTCGCTTTAGCGATGGATCTACGATTCCGACCGATGTCTGGGGTGACCTTCAGACCCCATAAGGATTTAAAAAACCAAATCGCCTTCCTAGTTTGGCTTCGAGACATTAAACCTGACCAGCCAGTTTTCCCCCACTGGGTTATTTAAGGTTCACGGCCATATAATGTTGAAACAAAGGTTCCCGTACGATCACCGAAGTTAAGCATCATCAAGCTTGTTAGTACCTAGGTTGGCGACCGCTTTGGAATACAAAGTGCTTTAAGCTTGGATGTGCGGGTGGTGTAATAGATAATGGCTGGGAATTGTTAATCGAAGAGAAGTGTTCCAAACGCCGATTGGATTTGTTATATTCATTTTCTTGGGAAAGGCATGAATCCACATCTCGCAGTAAATCATTATAATCTCAAAAATTTTTTTTTTCTGGTTTTAAATAACCTGCAAAAGCAATTCAGTCAGAGTTCATATCAGACACGGAAAGAAAACAACAAAATCCCTTATATGAGGTTGTGAAGGAAAGCGTGAAGAAAGGACTAAACACCAACTGCAAGAAGACATAATGCGTGGTTGTTAGCAAAAAGATGAGTCCGAAGTGCAAATTGCAAATCAGGAGGTACCAAAATCAAACATGTGTGGAAATTTAAATATCTGGGAAGTGTTTTAACAGAGGACGGAAAAAGTGGCAATGAGATCCGAAGTCGTATTGTGATACCCAAGGAAGCATTTCAAAAGCTAAGCAGAGTAAAAGATAGCAGACATAGAAAGTGAGTATTAGACAATCTCCTCAAAGATGAAAGAGAGACTTGAAGCAGCAGAAATGTTGTTCTACAGAAGGATGCTGAGGATATCATGGGCCAAACATGTGAGAAATGTCGAAATTAGAAACAAAAAAAGAACTTATACTTAACATCAGGAAGAAACAGTTGAGGTTTCTAGGGCAAATAATGAGGAAGAATTGCTTAGGGTAAGAAAAACACGGAAATAGCTGACCTTGGTATTCATAATGCTCCATTGTCAAGCATATATGAATAGTCTAGCTGTTACACATGGTCTAAAGATTACATTCAAGCAAGTGAAAGACTGTCGCACCAAGAAAAGGATGTGCCTTCTCACCAGACTTATTCAACTTATAGTGAGGCGATACTGAGAGATCTAGAAGTCCTACTATGATTCATTATTGGCGACCATATTTTTAAGACACAGTATTGATGGCAAACACAGAAATGAAGCTACTAAAACTCTTACAGAAGGTAGGGAAGAAAAGCCAGAAGAAAGGATTAAACATCAATTGCATGAAGACAGAATGCATCGTTGTTAGCAAAAGGATGATTCCAAAGTACGAATTACAAATCTGAGATTCCAAAATCAAACATGTGTGGAAATTTAAATATCAGAAAGCGTGATACTAAAATCTCAAAGAACTCTAGTTTATAGAACAGGCTCCCGTGTGGATGCTTACTCGATACTACAATGTCAACTGCTTCTAATAATATTCGATGCATGCCGGGAATCACCATATTGTCTGAATCGAACTTAATGTCAATGATGAAACTTCCTTCTAAGAGAATTTTCTCTGGATTGTCCCCGCAAAATATCGTCTGCTCGCGTAAGATATACCAAAGTAGATTTTGTACTCGGTACGAATTCAACAGATATATAAAATATAGAAAGTGATATAAGACAATGATGTGTCTTATCACCGGACTTCTCCAAGCTATCCAGTGAGGTGATTCTGAAATAATTTGAAGTCCTATCAGGATTCATTATTGGCGACCACAATCTTAACAATATATGCAGATGACACAGTGCTGATAGCAGACACGTAAGGAAATCTAAAAATACTTCTAAAGAATGTAGTAAAGGAAAGCGAGAAGAAAGGATTAAACATCAACTGCAAGAAGACAGAATGCCTGGTTGTTAGCAAAAGGATGATCCCAAAATGGAAATTTCAAATCAGAGGTACTAAAATCAAATTAGTAGAAGACATTAAATATTTGGGAAGTGTTTTAACAGAGTCAGGAAAGTGCCAAACTGAAATCTAAAGAGGTGTTGGGATAGCGAAAAAGGAATTCCATATGCTAACAGAAAAACAAAACAGAACTATAGGCCTACAGAAGGATCCTGAGGATACCATGGACCGAATATATGGTTATCGATATAGTTTTACAGAAAATGAAAACAAAAAGGAAACTTATTTGTAACATCCAGAAGAGACAGTTGAAATTTTTAGGGCATATAATAAGGAAAGAAGGCTTGGAAAATATGATATTCACAGGACAGATTGAAGGCAAGAGAGACGGGGGAAAAGCAATGTATAGCCTACTATAGTGAGTTTCTGTAAAGTTTTAGTACATTTATTTGAGTGTAAATGTCATTGGGAAAGGCATGAATCCACATCTCCCCAATATGGTTTAATTAGTATCACTTGCATCAGTAAATCATTAAAATTTCCAAAACAAATTTTTTATAATGTAAAAAATATTTTCTGGCTTTAAATAACCCGCAAAATTTTTAGGCCGTAAAAAAGTAAATCAATCAATCAATGATCTGTTAAAGCTAGATCAGAGGCTAGATCAGCTTCACACTTCTGGTCATTTTTATTTTTAATAAAAATTCTAAATATTTTTTCCCTGTTTTCTATCACGTTTTTGAACAAGAAACACAGAAGTAGCGTCGAAAAGACAGGTTAAAAGAGTGAAACCACATTCTACATCTTAAGACATCCTCTAGAGTCAGTGTAGCACGACACGCCTATTTGTGTCTTCATACAAAAGAATGCCAGTATTTGGCAACCTTGACTCCATCTTATTCGCCATCTTTTCTGTTGGCAACTTATTGCTGTTTTTATCATCTTCTGAGCGCCGAACAAACCCAGCTTCATTGTGTAAACGACGTTGTCACAATAGGAATGTAAATACAACGAATTGAATAGCCGCAGATGCTGTATTGTTGTTTATATTTACGAGCAAATATAATCCACATAATATGGATTTGATTCTTTACGAAGTTGTTTGTCTCTCTGATCAGCGTCTTGCGTTGCCAGTGGCTTACTGATCGACGCCGTTTATATTGGTGACATCACCAGGAGGAACAATTTCGTCTTTCTCTTTTTCTCCCTTTCTCTCTGTGTCTATTCTTTTCTGGCCATCTTCACAGACGGTTCAGTCTAAAATTATCAGCCATTTTGGTTTTATCTCGACAGTTTCGACCGATGTATTTTCGGCCATTTTTGTTTTTTTACTACTATTCGTCCATAGCAAAGGTATTCGGTGAAAGTGTGGGTGCCATACCGATCGTAAGAAAATACGGTTTAAGTGAAGTTCATGAGGTTATGGATGAAAGCTAACGGTTAATTATAGACTTGGAGAGATCCCGATTGTACTGATTGGAAAAGCATCCTGCCGGGAGTCAGTTTCACAAACAACATTTCTTATCTATCTATCTATCTATCTATCTATCTATCTGTTCCATCTATCTATCTATCTATCTAGGATAAATATATTCAGCTGCCGAGCCGGGTATCTCAGTCTGTTGGGGGGGTTGGGGGCATCTATAGGGTTTTTCACTTGGACAGGTTTAGATGGGTTTTATTTTTCTGTTCACATCTATCTCAGATAAATACCATCTATCTATCTATCTATGTATCTAAATATATATGTATGTCTATGTTTATGTTATATTCCCATATATAATGTTGGCATATACGCGGACGCGGAAGACACTACAACTCGTGCCTCAAAAACAAATCTAGTGTCGCTGACAAAACTAACCTGGCCGTGCGTCTTGAAATGAACCTCCAATCGGTTGTTAATTGGGGCAAGAATTGGCTGGTCAACTTTAACGCCTCAAAAACTAAACTTCTCTCTATTAATCACCATAGAGATCCTTCCCTGCCCCCCCCCATTAAAATGTCTGATAGTCAACTTCTTGAGAGCAACTCCCTGCGTCTGCTCGGTCTCACGTTGACTGCTGACCTGAGATGGAACAAATACATTGAGTCAATTGCTTCTTCCACCGCAAGGAAAGTTGGCTTTCTGTGCCGCGCCAGGAATTTTTTCTCCCCAGAATCGATACTTCAAATATACAAATCAACCATTCGCTCTTGCATGGAGTATTGCTGCCATATGTCTGGGGCACCTTCTGTTTACCTCGGAGTTCTTGACAAGATCCAGAGACGCATATGTAATATAATTGGCCCTGATCTGGCGTCTCGTCTACAGTCACTCTCTCACAGACTTACCGTCACCTCTCCCTGTCTTTTCTACAAATACTTTCATGGTAATTGCTCCGATGAGCTGCTTCCACTGGTTCCCAGACTTCATGAATTCAAGCGCCCTACGAGGCTGGCATCCCGCTCTTACCCTTTCCCTGTAGAAACTTTTAAATGTAGCCGTCTCTTCTACTCCAATAACTTCATATCTCGCACCTCTCGCCTGTGGAACACCCTTCCTAATTACTGTTTCCCTGAGAGCTATAATCTCCAACTGTTCAAATGTAATGTCAATCGACATCTCCAGTTACCTTGATCTATCCACTATCCCTCTCCTCATCCTTTCTTCTATCACTCCTATCTGCTCTTGCTCCAAATCTTCTGCAACCCCTTGCATCCTCGTGGCTTCACGCCTTGCTCGGGGCATAATGCTTAAAAAAATAAAAATAAAATAAGAAATATGTGTATATATGTATGTATCTATCTTAGACTGTTAATATCTATTTATCTACGTCTGTTCACATCTATCTATCTATCCATCTATCACAGTCTATTCATATATATTATCACCATCTATCTATCTATCTATCTATCTATCTATCTATCTATCTATTGCAGTCTATTCATGTATATCTATCACGGTCTCTTCATTATTTATTTATGTATCTATATAACAGTCTATTCATATCTATCTATCTATCTATCTATCTATCTATCTCAGCCTTTCAATATCTATCTATCTATACTTTTTTTATATACTAATGTTCACCCACGATCTTCAAAATTTAAGATGTTCAGATAGCAAATTGTTCATATCCGACACAAAATGAAGACAACAATATCCCTTACAGGAGGTAGTGAATAAACCGCAAGATAAACAAGATGTACGGTTGTTAGCAAAAGGATGAGCCCAAATTGCAATTTTCCGTTCGTAGATACCAAAATCAATCTGATACAAAACATTAAATATGCGGGATTTGTTTTAACAGAGTCGGAACGATACGACACTAAGATCTAAAAACGCATTGGGATAGCCTACAACGCATTGGAGATGCTAAAATTATATGAGAGTGGATATTGGAGATTCCCTTTAAAGATGAAGAGACTTGAAGCAACAGAAATGTAGTTCTACAGAAGGATTCTGAGGATACTATGGACCGAATATGTGATCAACGACGAAGTTTTTATAGAAAATCAAAACAAAAAAGAAAACTTATACTTAACATCAGAAAGAGACAGTTGAAATTTCTAGGGCACATAAGGAGGAAAGAAGGCTTGGAAAATCTGATACACACAGTGCAGATTGAAGTGGGGCAGAAGAAATATAACCCATAACCTACTTAGTGAGTTTGAGTAAATGGATGTCGGAACTATGTTTAAGAGAAATAACAAAAAGACAATATTTATTAAGAGCTCCAAATGACAGGAAATTGTGGAGAACCATGATCGCCAACGTCCTGAAGAAGATATTGGTGGGAGATACGCAACTAGCTCCGCCAACTAACATGTCATGAAAGCAGAATAGAATAGACGTAAAATATGCATACAATATCAGTAGACAAGGGTTAATACAAGATTCTACAGGACACAAATTGCCGGATCTGTTTTCTATAGTCATTAAGTACGTAATTGATCCTTCGATGATTAATACATATTAATATAACAATTGCAAAATATATTTAAAGATCCCCATGTGAAAACATTCTAATTATTTAAAAGACTTACAATATGCTGAAAGAAGGTTTGGCAAATGTGAAACTCACAGGGCAAATAGAAGGCAAGGGGAACAGAGGAAAACAACACAAAACATACTAAGTGAATATTTGGTTGGTGCATAATTATCAGGCGTTTTTTAGACGAGTTATTTGTTAATAAAATAATGCTATTTTGATTACTTTTTTTAATAAAAATATTATTTTCATGTTATAAAAATGCGTGTCGATAATCATACGATCCGGAATAATCATTTGAATATGTTATTATCGAATTGTTATGTTTCTTTTTTCATCATAAATATTATTTTAAAAAAAAAACGCCTGATAATTATGCACCAACCCAAGGAATGGCGAAACAACGTTTACGAGAAAGAGCTAAAATACTCAATTTATTAAGAGCTACGAAGGACAGGAAGTTGTGGAGAACCATGGTCGCCAACGTCCTGAAGGCATACTTCACATAAAGAAGAATGTTCGAAATAGACGGCCCAAGAATCGCTCAAGGTAGTCGGTTATTTTGAAGTGATGTATGAGCATAAGAAAAGTCAAGAAGAGAATTGCATGGGATTATGGAAAAAGATAATGGTTTACCCTCGACTTGAAAAGGGAAAGACGGTAGTGATTAGGAAAGCATCCTCTCGGGAGTCTGTTTCCCAAAGCATCTGTTCTTGGAAAGAAGCTGTTCGAGGGGAATTTCTTCCGTACTAATAAAATACGATGTGAATGTGGATGATTGTGTAAGCTGGTATGGTGGGGTTCCAGCAGCAAGGGTCAGGATTGGTGGAACCAAGTTATGGATCTAGTTAGAAGACTTGGCATGGAAACAGCGTAGACTAGCTTGAGGTTTTCCTTAAAACTCCGTTATTATTCACACGTTCACTCCATGGTATTCTCAGTATCCTTCTGTAAAACCAAATTATTTTTACCTCAAATCTGTTAGGACATTGTTTCTAATGGTATTTTTCTGTTTCTTAATACTTTGCTTAGCTTTTGGAAGGCATCTTCCTCTATTGCTATTGTGGCATCGGCTTTCAGTATCACATTTTCTGTCCGCTGTTAAAAATACTTCCGAGATATTTCAATTTTCATACATGATTATGATATTTCTAATTCGTAATCCGCATTATTTTTCCGTTCCTTTTGCTGACAACCATACATTAATCTTTTCCTTCTCACAGAGTTTTTGTATTTTTTTCTTTCTGTGTGTGCTATCAACAACTGTGTCGTCTGTATATCTTATGTTGTTAAGATTGAGGCCGCCAACAATGAATCCTGGTAGGACTTCTAATTCTCTCCAGTTCACCTTACTGTATACGTTGAATAAATATGACGTATGCCCCTTTTTATTTTTAGCATTTGATGATTTCATCTGATTTTTTATCTGCATGCAGTCGGTTTCTTCCCAGTACAAGATCTGGGTTATTCGAATATATTTTCCAAACACGTGTAAAAATCCGTTGTAGCAACTGATTTTTTGTTGCTATCTTTTTGATCACCAAAAAAGTAGAAAATTTTAAGTGAATTTGTTTGCCATACAAATGAAATAATTGTTACCTTTTTCTTGTATTGTGTTTTTGGATGAACTTATGCACAATTTGCATTGTTGTAATGTTTGTTCTTGGTGCAAAAGAGACGAGAATTAGGAAGACCGTCGTTAGAGCCAGTAAAGGAGGAACAGAAGAATAGGTAGAGAAAAGAATGGAGATGTTTATTAAATACTCATAAATAAGAGTTAAAAAATAGCCCAAAATTTGGAAGGCCGTCGTTAGAAAGAGTATCGAAGGAACAGAAAACAAGATAGAGGAAAGAAAGACCCTTATTAAATACTCATCACAGAACGGTAAAACTTGCGTAAATCCAATACTACTCAAACCCTACTCTAATGTGGCTACTTGCCATATTTATAAGTAGGAGAGTTTTATTGTTACAGTAGTAGGGAAGAGCAGGAAGTACGCAGAGTTCTATGCTACACTAATACACGTTTTGCATGAATACACGCACGACGGATTTTAAAAGTGAACACTATACACAACTTATTTCTCTGTGGATTAATCTTAAAAAAAATCTAACCAGCTGAACATTCTGTTTTATTATTACCTCTCAGCAGGTTTTCGAACTTTTCCAGTCGTATAATTATGAGTATTTGCTTGATTAGTCATAAAACCAGAATATATCAGAATGTTAGTGCAATCGATGCAGCGATAAAGACCGAGTAAGATCTGAATTTATTGCTTGTCATGTAATTTTATTTTTATGTAATGCATTCTTGAGTAATGTTGTCGCGTTTTTGTGTGTGTGCTGTGTTACTCCAGGAACTAGAGGATCATGGCTCTCAACAATATCCTGTTCTTTATAGCTCTGAGTCTGGTTTGTCGTTTTTAACATTTCTCCTAACCCCTGTCCTATAAATCATTTACACAAAGTCCTTAGGAACGTTATTCGCTATTTCCCTCTACTACACTTGCCTTCACTATGTACTGTGAGTGTCAAATTCTCCAAGCACTCTTTCCGCGTTACCTGTCCCAGAAATGTCAACTCTCTTTCTTATTCAACGCAATATCATACTGCAGTTAAAATGGTTCGACGAAACCGTAGGTTCTATGCTAACAGTTTCTTCTATCGCACTTCTCGCTTGTGGAACTATCTTCCGGCTTCTTGCTTCCCTGTCAATTTTGAACATCAAAAATTTAAATGCAGTGCCGATTGTTATCTTTTGTCGTCTTAATTTTTGTCCTAGCATTGTATTCTCTGCCTAGTGTTTTTGTCTCATATTCTCTAAGACACAGTAATCCATTGAGTCTTAGTGAATTTATCGCCTTCCCGGGGATGAAATGATAAAAAAGAAAAAAACGTATCTTTTTTCACCCGTTTTGCTTAGGATATACTCCTTCCTTTCTATCTGTTCTAGATTAGCTAGCACCCCTTCAGAACTCTAACAGATGGCCTGTCTTATAGCTTTAAATAGTCTACGATTAAAAACTTCAACAGTTGATTAATAAGGTGGTTAATATTCGGACTGATCTTACTTCGTTTGGCTATACAGCATTTGACCCTCGTCTATACCTTGTAAGTTGTCTTGTTAATTGTTTTGTAACTTATTTTTCTGTGTTGTATGTATCCTTTAGCACCGGATAACTATATTAAGCACCAATTCTTCTCTGTATCCTTCACCTAGACGATACAACACTATTGTTATCTTTTGTCTTAATTTTTATCCTTTTATAGTTCTCTCTCTCTCTCTCCTTGTTTTTCTCTAACATTCTTGCGTCCTAGTGGCTTTATTGCCTTGCTTGAGGTGAAATGATTAAAAAAAACTGTCTCTTTTTCATTTCTATTTTTCTTAATGCTTACTTCTTCCCCACATGGTCCGTCCATGGTATTCTCAGAATCCTTTTCATTGGTAAGTGATATTTGAAATATTTTCGATCGATTACAATCGGCAATAGATTAAGCTTTACTTTAATGAGAACGAAAACACTGCCCAATGAAGTAACCTTTGACCTTTGGTAATGAATCATAGTTGTAATTTTTGTTTTATGCTAACATTCATTGCATTGAAGACTGTCTGTGTTTTACTTTCTATTGTAATTAAAGCTGTCAATATTTTACATTAAAAATTATTTGTGTATTATTTTCCATATGTTTTTATTCGCTTGAAGCCGTTCCACGTCACGTTAGATTAGTACTTCGTTTCAAGCAATTGTCTTCATGGCAAAGCCAGGAACACTGACAGAAAAGATCGAAGTCAAGAAAAATTGTCGGGAAAATTCAATTAAAAGTTTCATTTCAGGTAGTTAACATTGCATTCGTTTAATGCTGAATTCATCGAACTGACAACTATGTTAAAAATCGATTTTATTGAAAGCAAACTTTCAGGAATACAACATTTACATCAAGCTGTTTACAGAGGATTCTATCATATAAAAACATTTATTCTGTCGGAGCAATACTCATTTCAAGATTAAATTCAATGACATACGTCAACCGAACACATTTGTTCCGTCATTTTATGGAATTTAATTCCTGGACATTTTCTGGAAACATTCA